TGTCAAACAAACGATACTTATCTTTCTCTAACATGCATCATATTAGGTATTTATCTTCATATTGATTTAAATGTGTCAGTGAAATATTATTTTTATCATTATTAATGCATATTTTGAACTTGAAAGTGACCCGATCTCTACTCCTTTTACGACTAAACACTTAAATAGTTAATCAAAATTCGATAAATTTAAAAAGGAAGCAACATAGAAAGAGCAAAGGAGCAATCAATTTGTACCTATCGACCTATGGAATATCCATCCGCCAATTTAATAACTGACCCTTGATAAGCTTATTTTCAACAGACTTCATAATGGATATAATTTTGATATAGACATAAAGGTGACCTTAGAAAAGGATATGGGCTAATTTTGGGAAATAATTAGGTATATTAATATTATAAATAGGAATGTTTCAATAAGTATTTGTTGCCTAATAATGCCAAAACGGCACAACAAGTAAATTAAAATCACTCCTATCAACGGAAACACATTTAGCATAGGTTTGATAAAAAATACGTGTAGAAACTATAGTGGCAGGTTGCCAGCGACAGTTTCCGAATATGCTCTGTTGATATACTGCTGCTATCTGTACCGCAAAGTTAGCAATAGAGTTTTCTATTTTTCAGAAATTGTGTAGTATCCTAGCTTCTGTCTACAATTTCTTATATATGGATAACAGAATAGTAATCTTAGTGGACCTACAAACGGAATCAAAGGAATCTCTTTCGTGAATCTAGATTTATTTTTATTTTTATAGATAGGTTCGACAAATGACTCCACCCCACCTGATGTTAAGTGAAGGTGAAGTCCAGACGCGAAGATAGCTGATACAGCAGTTCTATCAGCCACACCAGCCATCCTCACCCTGCCGGCCTGCATGTTGCTTCTTCACGCCTCTCTTAAAGGATCCCAGGTTGTAAGAGGGAGGGAACACGTGAGCGGGCAGAGCATTCCATTTACGGATAGTCCGACAAAGAATTGAGTCACCAAATTTCTTTGTATGCGTTGGAATTGTGGCCACAGTAAGACGGTGACAACGTAGGCCAGCGCGCGTGGTCCTCTGAAGGACAGGAGAAGGTGGGATAAGAGAGAATAACTCCTCAGAACACTCACCGTGGTACAGACGATAGAACGCGCTTTGTGAGCTTAGCTTTTTATGCTCTTCCTCGTTATCGAGTTCCATCCAAGTCGCCTAGCCTATAGTACTTATAATGTTTGTTACATTCAATCGTGCAAACTTAGGTACACGTTCATGATATTTATTACGTAGATATGTTGAATTAGTATCGCGCCCCGTTAAACTGTTTGAAAAACGACTGTCCACATTACGCTTTAGCGTTCTAAGCTTCGAGAGTTTACCCAAAAGGCTCCCTCGGGTGTCGTACATACAAACGCACCGTGATCTGTTATGACGCTCTCTGAGTATGATTTACGAGTAAATATGAGATACCTACTCGAGCGCTTGCCGTTGTTTCGATATCGCATCTGTGTGATATCTCTGGAGGAGCGGCACGCACTATTTTGATATACAATTCAACGTTGAGCTCGTCGACGAGGTTGACTAGTGAAATGATAAAACTCCTGCTTGGAATGACCAAAAAATAATGTTATTTATGGAAATTGTTACATTGAGTAAAAAAACATTAGAAAAAAAAGGTTCAGAGTGGATCTTTTTCTAGAAAATAAAATCTTTAGATTTAAACATGTATCAGTTAAATACTTAAAAATATATAATTCTCGTAACATTGTCTTCCACGATATTAATATTAAACGAGTAAACGAAAAAAGTAATTATGAATAGCAATTTACAACCCACTTGGATCACTCACTGCGAATCTAACGGCTCCAGGTTCAAATCTCGGAGAAGACAAATGTTAGTTAGATAAACACGTGCATTTTCTATCTGTCATAGATGTTTATGTTTAAAAATGTGTTTACACGTTATTTTATACCCATAGTACATGTGCTTTGTTTGGGGAAAGACGATTGCTGTAATAACCAAATAATAAAAGGTTTACTCTAAATTTGCTCAATAATTTCAATACATTTTAGTATTTTGTAGATAGGAATAAAGTAGAAATGTCATGACAGATGTAATTTCCATATTGAGTTCTCAACAAAAACAAAAATTAGCAACAGTGGTAATTGTATCATTAGACGACTAACTATATAATCACCGACTATTCTCTGCTATTATGAATTTGTTTTTTCAATTACATTTTGTTCACAAACACAGACAGATAATAAAACAATTTTATACTTTAACTTTTAAAATAAACCCATAATTCAATTAGTTAACAAATGAAACAAATATATAGAAACATTTTGGTTTTTTGGAAATAAAAATTAAGATATTTCGACCATGCCACAGCGTTGCATGTTGTAACCGAAGATGTCAAATTATAGAATAGCGTCCCTGAACGCTTCAAGAATTTTCTCTCTCTTCATGCGTTCACTGATGCCTAATACCCCAGCATTTTGTGAGCGTAGCTGTCTAGGTACTCCCTTTTATCACGACTGGAGTGGAGATGTGCTTATCTGAGCGTTCGGTGTGGCTTTATGTTTTGAGATTACAGAAACCGATGAAAAAAAATCTTTCGTAGTATATAAGGGATACAACTTATTATCTACAGTAGATAATACTAAGGACAACATAGAAAGTGCAAAGGAGCAATCAATTTGTACCTATCGACCTATGTATATTCTTTACCCGCCAATTTCATAACTGACTCTTGATAAGCTTATTTTCAACTGACTTCAAAGGAGGAGGTCTTCAATTAGACTGTGTTTTTTATATTTTTTTTTATTTTTTGGCATGTAACTGCTTGATGTTTAAATCTAAAGAGAATATAACTAGAAAAAAATCCACGCACACCAGGCAGCAGACGGGACTCGAACCCGCACCCTTCGCAATCCGGGCGAATGCACTGACCAATTGTGCTACCGCGCGTCATAATCCTTCTAGCCATTCTTAAGCTGCAAGGCAGCGCCATTTATTCGCATTGTAGGTACCCCACAATATCAAATGAATACTTTTACAAGTATTTATATGTTTCTTTTTGTTTTTTTATTTAATTTAATTTTATGAATTCAATTTACTAACACTACATTTGTAAGCATAATTGTTACTAACCATTATGGATAAATAATGTGAAATAAATGTTATTATTATTAAACATTTGAAAGAAGAAATAGCAATTGTTTGTTTATTTGTTATGTTACTTATATATTATTATTTGTTTGTTTGCGATTTCTCCGTCAATATAGGGCCGGTTTTCAAAATGCTTTCCGTTATCCTAAGGGTATATCGCATACGTAATCGCTTCCAAAGTAGTCCTATATAAATTTAAGCGGTTTTGTTTTTATAAAGTCTTCCTTTTAAGTTATTGTTGCAAAACAATAAAGTAGACTTTCTTTTAAATATCCGTATCCCTGGAAACATACATGTCACTCTGAACAACGGACGGAATGTTCGACCTTACAGATTTTGCCGCCTCAAAAATGTCTAAATCTACAGTTCTTTTCTGTGCGGAAACTGTAATAAACAAACGCAAGTTTCGAGAAGCAAGTACTGTAGAACGTAGATGTTATCTACGATGGCCGCCGCGAAGTTATCAGCGCTAATATCAAGCAGGTAGGTCAGGAGTAATGTTCCCAGTGTACCGACCGAACGAACCGCCCCGGCAAAGAACCTTTCCGTGACCTACATAGGGCGGGCGGCGTGTCGCCGAAAACACAATAAAAATATTCTAACGACTTTTTGCTTTTCAATAGCTAGAACTGTCGTAGAGCAAGAAATTGTGTGATTAAATGGTTGCATATTCTTGGTAGTGGTGGAATTAATGAGGTCAGATTGCTTTTGAGTGACTCAGATTGTAAAGCTGTAGTTGTGGTTCGATTGATGCTAGTAAAGTTTTAAGCCATCATCTTCAGCTCATTAATGTCCTCACTGCTGGGGCACATGCCTACCCTATGGATGGAATAGGGAGATTGGTCCAATAGCCACCATAGGGGATCAGTGAAGATTGGTGGGTGCTAACAGGTAGAACTGCTGTACCAGCTATCTTCACGTCTGGACTTCACCATCACTTGCTTAACATCAGGTGGGGTGAAGTCATTTGTCGGACCTATCTATAAAAAAAAAATAACAACAGCAATTTAATTTATATGAATTCAATATACAGAGAGCTTTTGTGTTACAAAACAGAGCTATCAGAACTGTAGTCCGTATTTCACAATGGGAATCATGTAGAGAATATTTCGTGAAATTGAAAATTTTAACCGTCCCTTGTGTTTATATATTAACAGTTTTGTGCAACTTAGCAAAAACATCTGAAACTTTTGAAATGCCAATAGAGAGGGAAAGGCGTTTGAAAACACGCAGAAAGTATCTACTACATCTGATCGAACCTAAACTTAGGTTGTTAATAAAGGTACCAGGCGGTCGAGATTTTTAATAGACATACTTATAGGACTTCTCGATAAACAACATTAGTGGTTTGGCTCTCCGCAGCCAAGATGTAATGAGAGTCAGGACTGGTGACGCGGGAGCAAGCGACGTACAGCTGCCTGTGTGAGAAGCATCTCGCCCTGAGGTCGACACCCGCTGCCCTCAGTGTCTGCCCCTGCGACTTATTGATGGTCATTGCGAAGCAAAGACTCACGGGGAACTGTACGCGCTTGAACTGGAACGAGAAGTTATGAGGTATGAGGGGAATGCGTGGTATAAATATTGCTTCGCCGACGCCACAACCCGTAAGAATTTCCGCCTCAATGGTGTGTCTGTGGAGCGAGATGACTTTAAGGCGGGTCTCGTTACACAACTTCGGAGGAGATAGGTTCCGAAGAAGCATAATCGGGACACCTACCTTCAGTTTGATGGTATGCGCTGGAAGTCCACTTGCTGACAGGGAGTTCAGAAATTCCACGGGATAATGTGTGGCGTCGTCTTGGTGTGTAGACCACTTCATTCCCCTCAATTTCACGAGAGAATGCATTCGTTAATTTTTGGGCGTTAAAATGGCCCGCTCACACACCCAAAAATTCTGCTGGTGCGGTATACGACTGATGTCCCCGTACACAGAGCGAATGAGTTCTTCTAAGTTAGATACAACTCTATCGAGAGACTCTGGAAGCACCAACTGTCCACCTCTCTCCTCTGGTAGAGTGCTTTCGACAAGGCTTAGAAGGACTTCGGAGAATTCTTGAGCACGTGCATTGCTGCCGAGCCGAGCTTTCATATTAATGGTCAAGGCCAGCGTACGAACTCGTGACCACAACGAAGATCGTTTCGACGAAGCATTCACCTCGTCAGCCCTCGATCCTCGCGTCACCACAGGAAGCGTTTGTCGGAAATCGTCACTAAACAGCGCTGCAGCGGCTTTGAAGTTGCCAATGTGCGGATTTGTTTGTCCAGTATCCAATCCTCTGACCAGACCAAGGTCTAAATTGGGGATGTGTCTACTTCGCAAATTTGCTTGTTCTTCAAAATCGCTTACAAAATAAATTTTCAAAATTTTTGGAAAGTGTGAACCTACCTTATAGCATGGTCAACATGATGATACTCATCGTTGTTCGCTGATCTCGCTGATCAAGGTGACAAAATGTAAATATTTATCTTGTTTTACCTTTATGTTTACCGATGAGTCACCGATGACACTAATCGTAACGCGAAATAGTAACACATTCGCCAGTTACCCTCCAAGTCAAGCGTGCCTAAAGAAGATTCACTTCAAAAATCCTTCAATCCTGTCCCCGTAGCATGATCACCACAAGTTACATTAAAACACGTCTTTTATCGTGTCTAACTGTCAAACTCCCAAGTAATTTGACAGATATATATAGATAATATGGGCGTGATAAAAACGAGCGATATATTATATCGCGGTGCTCATGCTAGGGGGCATGAGCACCGCGATATGACATATCGCTCGTGAATCTTCTTTAGGCACGCTTGACTTGGAGGGTAACTGGCGAATGTGTTACTATTTCGCGTTACGATTAGTGTCATCGGTGACTCATTGGTAAACATAAAGGTAAAACAAGATAAATATTTACATTTTGTCACCTTGATTAGCGAGATCAGCGAACAACGATGAGTATCGCAGTCAGCGACGAAGTGGCGTAGTTGTATAAGTTGCACCATGCAAGCCAATGATCTCAAGCTCAAATGACGGATCTGAAATCTTAGTTTAGCATTTTTTTATTTTTTAATTAATTACACGACGTAATTAATCAATAAACAATTATTTAGTATTTTACTATTAAAATAACACTAAAAATCAATTTCTTAATTTTTTACGCACACCACTCATTAAATGAAACGCGCTTAAAAGGATTAAAAAAGGCGTTTTTTATTACTTTTTGACATTTTAGAATTATGATTTTTATTTACTTTTAAGGTAGCTCGTCTCTCTCGAAAGACTTTTATTGAACGTGCGGATACTTCATTGAAAGATTATAGAAATTTTATTGTCCATGTATAAATATAAATAATTAACTACTATATTTCATAATTTTCTAATTTTGCGTTTATTTATTTAACCCTAACTACCGTAAACTACCACCACTTCCAAATTGGGAGACCTTTCTGAGAAGAACTGGCGAAACAAATCAGAGAGCCTTTTGTCTCCTTCTTATGTTATATACATAGATCCGCTCCGATCCGATCCGATCTTGTTTCGATCCGCTGAAGCCTTATCGGGGACTGCCCGCATCCGTAGAATTTGCGTGTCAACGGAATCAAGTGACATTCGTCTTATCTATATCTCGTAAATCGACTGCATAAACGTGGATATAAGGCACCTCGCGCACTAGAGCCGCGGCACCGCCGCGACACGACCAGTGGTCGCAACGACCAGATCTACTAACCTTGAAATTTGACGACCTCCATGGCCTACTGGTTTATACGCCGGGTTTCAAGGTGTTCCCTACACGAGAGATCCCGGGTTCGAATCCCGGTGGGGGCAGATGTTTGTGTGATGATTATGAGCATTTGTACTCCAGTCATGGCTGTTAATATGTGTTTTTATATAAATAAACTTCTAAATTTGTATTCTTTCCGTTACCTTAGTATTCTATAACACAAGCCTACAGTGCTAACTTTGGGGCTAGGCTTATACGTTTGAGTGTGGGAAATATTTATTTATATACTGAAGTAATAATAAGTAATATGAAATCACTTGGCTGCAGTGGGCAACTCACCGCACACCGGGCCGGCACGACTGGTTGTTGCGGTCATCTTACATATAATACGCTATGAGTGCTCGTGCACTAGATCTGTGACCGTGAATGCGACCAGGCCGCGACCAACCAACCATTCTCAGTGTCACGCGGCCAGCAATGTAGCAACTTACGATCAGTCGTCGTGGCTTCATATTTGGCCGCAGCCCAACCGCAGTTTCTACGATCAAAGTTGCGGCCACAACTGACCGTAGCCTTTGCCATCTAGTGTGCGAGGTGCATAAAAGGCACTTCGAACATAAACCACGTTTTCGACTACTTGCCCAAACGAGTGAACTTAAAATTATATTCGACGATCGGTTAATATAACTGCAACTCTCTTGTTATAAAAGTTTCTGGAAATACTGTTTATATTTTTTAATCTGGCTCGCGGTCTGATTTGTATCTTACCACAATTGATAAAGCCTAAATCTGTGTCAATTGTTTATAAAAGAAAAGAGTTCAGACCATCTGTCCACATAATATAAGTCGGTATTAAGAAGCTTCAGTTTAGTTCACGTATATGGATGTTCTGCGTTTTTGCAGAACTGATGGCCGTTGGAGCCGAAAAGTTCTTGAATGGAGGCCTCGACTCCGTAAACGTAGTGTAGGACGCCCCGAGACAAGATGGGATGATGATATTCGTAGGCTGGCTGGAGTGGGCTGGATGAGAGTAGCACAAAATCGGGAGCAGTGGCGTGCATTAGGGGAGACCTTTGTCCAGCAGTTGACGAACATGGGTTGATGATGATGATGATGATTATGATGATGATATGGATGTTGTGTTTGAATACACAGAATATGTAAAACAAACAAGAATATTAGTAAACAAGAATGTGACACACACACTTTCTAAAGGAATATTTTCTTATTTTCGCATTCTGACCCAAATTACACAGCTCCTTTTACGGGTTGTGAATACTTATATATCATATGGCTTAGTTTATTATACACATAGAAGTTAAACGAGCAGGGTTTGGGGCCTTTACTTGTCGTATAGTGTGCATGAAGCCTAATAGAAGATGTAATAGAACACATAGCCTGCTCTTGATATTTCGTCAATTCCAGTGATCCTCAAATAAACTCAAGCATGAATTAATCTATTATTAACTATAATTCGGTAACATACCAATTCCAATCATGCACTTGAAGGGTCGTTTATTGATATTGTTTGACGATGGAAACAAATGACATGTCAATACGACACATCAGAGAGAAAGCTAACATGTCTCGTAAATAAATAACGGAGAGAGATTTTTATTTTTAATCTTTGTGTTGAATTTAAATCTGATATCTTACACACATTACATAAAAATGAACTAGGTCCAACTTAAAACAAGTAATATTTTTATTTTATTCTTTGTACTGGGTACACTAAACTGGGTATTTTTGAAATTTATTTTGAGTGTTATTTTAATAGTGAAATACTAAATAATTGTTTATTGATGAATTACATCGTGTAATTAATTATAAAATAAAAAAATGCTAAACTAAGATTTCAGATCCGTCATTTGAGCTTGAGATCATTGGCTTGCATGGTGCAACTTATACAACTATGCCACTTCGTCGCTGACTGCGATACTCATCGTTGTTCGCTGATCTCGCTGATCAAGGTGACAAAATGTAAATATTTATCTTGTTTTACCTTTATGTTTACCGATGAGTCACCGATGACACTAATCGTAACGCGAAATAGTAACATTACCCTCCAAGTCAAGCGTGCCTAAAGAAGATTCACTTCAAAAATCCTTCAATCCTGTCCCCGTAGCATGATGAAAACGAGCGATATGTCATATCGCGGTGCTCATGCTAGGGGGCATGAGCACCGCGATATGACATATCGCTCGTTTTTATCACGTCCAAATTATCTATATATATCTGTCAAATTACTTGGGAGTTTGACAGTTAGACTGGATCTTTCTTAATCTTACTTACCTTACATTAGAACGGTATATAATCAAACAATTTAAATCAGAATGGATATATTTTCCAAGCTGCAGTACCATTCCGTAAAGAATCACAAAATTTTCATTTTCATGCTCTCATAACAGTCTCTTCGGCGGTGTAGTGTGAGGCGGGTCGTTACGTTCCCTAAAATATGGTTGAGCGAAGCGATGGCTGGTTCATGCGTCATGCTCGTGAACGGGTGCTGCCAGCGGAGATGAGTCTGCCCTAACTTCCTTAATATTGAAGTTAATGTTTAGTCACATTTTATATTTGTATTTATACTGTATGACACAGCAATCAAAATGCAGGTAAACAATTAATGTATATTTAATAATTATGTAATGAAAAGTGACTTCATGAATCACCTCTGAAGTCATTTTTCAATTTGACGACTCTGTAAATAATAAAACAGGGAGAAAAAGAACAGCCCTTGCTGAGTTTCTTGCCTGTTCTTCTCAATACAAGGTCTCCCGCCGTAGATTTACGAACCGATGGCGTAGCTTCTAGACATTTATGAGTGCTTGTAACAGCCTAAACTGAATGAATGATTTTGATTATGATTATTCGCTATGTGCGAAGTACATGGTGGGGGTATAGTGAAGCGATCGCAGCGCTTATCGTGGCAGAAATACGCAACAATCCGGGAAAGTAAAGTCAATTTGCACGGAGTTCGTAATAAACAAAAATTTTTTAAAATGCCTATTAATAGATGTTGTTGTGTTGTGAATTGCAAAAATAAGGGCACAAATAGTCTGTGTATATATTTCCTACATTGGACTGGAAATTAAATCAAAGAAATAAATGGATAGATGCCATAAAAAGAAATAAGTAAGCGAAATAACCTTAAATTATGATCAATTTTATTTGCGCTATATATTTTATGTGATATTCATTATTGTCTTTATTATTTTAGTGTTGATGGGTCGCCATGGTATCCCAAACCTGACGACACAATTTGTAGTGAACATTTTATGGGAAACAAAAAATCAGACGAGGAAGAAAATCCGAGTTATGCTCCTACGATATTCCCTGAAATATATCGAAAGAGGAAGGTTAATGATTCACAGGTCCTAGCTAGATATACACGCTTGACAAAACGAAGAACCACAAAAGTCTCAGATACCACATCAAGTCAAATAATAATTGAAGAAGGGAGTGAATTAAATCAAACTCAACCTTTTATGATCGATCAAGGATGTCAAGTCAATATGTTTTCTGAATCGAAATTAAGAGATACAACTTTTATTTGTATTAGATTAATTTACAGTGATCACTGTGATGCTGAAATCCAACATCAAGAATTTTAATGACAAATAATTCAAGAAAGAAAGATAAAAGCTGTGGCACTGACAAAAAATCGTATGAGGAT